GTGATTGATTCTGTATGGGTAAGGCAGTAAGGATGTGGAGGTCATGTGAGGAGAAATTACTCCCACTGAAAGCCCTAAATAGCTCAAGTTCACAGAAGTTTAGAGACACAAAAAGTTTAAGGAACATTTCCATATAGCACTACCTAAGCACTCAAAGTTGCATTCAGGAATGTGTGAGTTATACAGATCCTCATATCTTCCAGTTGAAGCAGGGAGAACATGGTAAGGCAGGGGAGAAGCAAGTTTCAAAATGGAAAAGAAAGGAAAGGCTGCAGTCTGTTTGCTTTCTTAGACCTCTCTTACAACCAAATGCAAAATATTCCCTCTATTTTGTAGAATTCCCTCTAATGAAGCACAATCAAAAAGTGATCAATTTTAAGTACTTTTGCTGATGAAAACGAGTTACTTTGAGTACCAAAGATGAAAGCTGACCTGTAAAATATTCCTACCAGACCTTAAGATACTGAGTGACAGGGAAACTTCAAACAATAAATTTGATCTGGATAATCACGGAGCAATGCAGATGAGAATAGTCATATTACACTTTATGTACAGATATAATGATGGGCCTCAAGCTAACATTTTCTGAGATATGGAATGAAATACTTCCATGAAAACATAAATTTATTGTTCAGCTCTAACTGAAGTGAGTGTTACTAGAAAAGAAATATCAGTTACACAAATAAGAAATATTTAATTTATGTGCTATTTAGACAGTGAGTTCTAAGGGAGGCAAATGGCATAAATGGAATTCATATTGCACAGAACAGACTGCTGCAAAATGTGCTTCATAAGTAGAAGCACATGACCATCAGTGAATATCTCAAATAAATATAACAGTTTCTTTTGTAGTAAATGAGTAAGTAATTATTCCTTGAACTGGTTGCTTCATGGAAAAAATGTAAAAATTACCATACTCAATGTAAAAATGGACAGCAATTCCAATGACAGGACTATTTTTTAGAAGAAATATAAGAGGGAACAAACATTTTTTGATACTGCAAGTAAGCAAATGAATCAACTACTAAAGCAAGGGGCAGAATTACTGCACTTCTATAGAATTACAGGAGTGATAAGGAAAAATGAGAACCAAAGCTAAATTAATTACACTCATTACATTGTGCAGTGTAATTACATTAATAAAAATCTACATGGATAGTAAAGTGATTCTGGTATGGTTGAAAAAAATACTCGTCCTTGGGTCTAAAAGCAAAAACCATGCTATAAATTTGTCTGTCAAAATATTTTAGAATTATCATCTTACAGTGAAGCTACATGAAAGCTTCACAGATTATTTGCACTGTTTTCTTTCTTTGGTGGACTTTTTATGATAATGGCTTATATTTGATTTCATATTTTTTAAATACCTGTCTGTGAGCAGAGGATAAGGCTTTCATATCCGTAGAGACAGTGAGGAGGTAAGACTGGGTGGAAAGTTCAGCTATTGTATGGCTGATGGAGGAGGAAAGAAATTAAATGTAGACAAGCAGCAAATATTAGCCTAGGGAATTCAAACCCATCCTCCAGAGTACTAAGTGCTGCCTACCCTCACTTTTTTTATTTGTTCCACTCCTTTGCTTTTCCATAGCTATCTTTCCCAGCTCAGGTCTAGTGCAAGTAGACCCTGATTACGGGATTGTGAGAGCAGTGGGACATATTTCAGGCAGATTATTCCTTTCCCAGCATGGCAGCTATTGATCCTGGTCTTCTGCACTGACCAGTTGTCACAGGTCAGAGTCTCTCATGCCAAACCATCTTGTGCTGGGTAACTCTGACAGGTCTATAAGCAGCATCTCTCTACTTCTGCTGGCCAGTACAAGCTACTGACCCAGGTGAATTAGAGATCCCATGGTGGATAAGGAGGATCAGGTGGGATGAAAAGAATGTCTGTGAGGTGCTGGTTTCTTTGGTCATGTTAAAGCAATTAGGATTTTTAGTGTATTTATCTATCTAATGTCTCAACTTTACCCATTTCCTCCTGCAGCTGAAAACCAACATAGCCATTAATAAATTATTTTAAATATGATCTGAAGATATATTCATTTTGCTGTTTTACATCTCAGTTACTCTCCCAACACTTTTGCTGGTCTTCACAACAGGTGACCAGTGCATGTGTCCAAGTTGAATCTTGCAGTTAAACTTTTCCACATTTTGCTTATTCTCATTTTTGGTGTCTTCCATTTTTGAAACTAATGCCTCATTCCATGCTAAAATTTCAGTTTCTGACACCAACAAGGTGTTCATACCATCACTTATTTCCTATGTGGGTTCCTGCGTGCAGCATTGGGTTATTCTATTTATTTTAGAAAAGCCCCTCCACAGTGAAAGCCCTCATCACAGGAAGAGTTCCTTATAAAACTCTACTTGGCTGTCTTGCCCTCTACTGTCAAATCTCCAAGTGATGCATTTAGATAGCTGACAGTGGAGTAATTTTCCACCTCACTGATCAAGAAAAGTTCCTTGTTTTCATGTACACTTTCCTCACACTGTTTTACTCTGTGTCTTTAACCTCTCTGAGATGAGAATAGGGTCTCTGTCTTGCATTTGAATAGCACTCAGAGCACAGACTAGGAAAACTTTTCCAGTGTTTTGATAAAAAATTAAGAAGGTCTCAGCAACAAAGACAAAAAATTGAACTGTGGGTTGCAGTCTCCATTGACACAGATCCAGGTTAAATTGCTGTTGGCCTTATGCTGCTGGCCTTCTCTCTGCAATATGCCAGATCAATAGTATTTGCTGACAGTGGTTTTCTTTAGTAATTCAGAAGTCTGGAGCAATGAAGTTGTTTGAAAAAGGTGAACAGTTTAATAGAGTGAAAAATCAGGTTGAGGCGCTACTATTGCTGCTGGGTCTGTCTCTATCCAATATTCCCCACCAGGATAAAAATTAGACAAAAAATCTTGAGCAGGCAAGGACAACACAGTAATGGGAAAAGCCATAATCAGAAGTATTTCTGAAGCCAAAATATTTTTTATTTAATGTCACGAGAAAAAATGAAAAAAAAATCTGGAAGAGAAAACGGTCATGTGAAAACATGACAAAACTGCAATTTACTTGAGTGTATCATCTCGGCTTCTATGGCATTTGCTTCTTTACTGTGTTTCCAAAAACCATCCTGTAGACTTGATTCCTAAAATGTAGGATCATTAGCAGATCTTACAACTTACATTTCAGGTTAAACAGGAAAGCGACTGTCTTATGCTACTTCATGGTTTTTGTGCTACTAACTTTAGCATCCCTGCATCTAAAAATCATGATAGAGTATAGTGACAAACAAATGTGTAGATGGGTGGTGTAAAAAAGTTGGGTGTATTTCCAGCTACTTAAAACATGCTGAGCATCAAAAAGGGGCCAAACAGAAAGAAGGGATCCATGCCACAAATGTCTCAAAGAATAATTTTTTTCCAGAAAAAAATAAAAAATCTAAGCCATTTGACTTCTGGGAAAGAAGAACTTATAGGGGTTTATCCCTTTAATCATTTCATGATTTCTTTTTTCCCCTCATAAATATTTTAACTTGTCATACTAATCTCTGTTTTGCATCTTTGTAACATCTGTGGATCTTCTCTAAGATAGGGACTTGATCACTTTTCAACTCAATAGAAGTAAGATTTCTTTATTTTTTCAAAGGTGAAGCTCTTGATTTAGCACATTAGATTTGAGCTCAAAAATTTTATTAAATAATCCCAATTAGGTCTTCTCATTGGAATTTAGATATCACAAAAAGGAATTTTCAGAAAAAAAACCACAAATACTTGAATTCTTTTCAATTCCTTGAGGAAAGAAAGGAGAAACCTTTTTTAAACTGAGAAGCTAGCAAACCAGAGTGGAAAAATCAAAGTGAGACTAAAGACAAATGCTTTTCTTGGAGACTGATTGTCTGTTCTGAGCCTCATCCTTTGTCCTCCCACTGAAGTGTTTTGGCCAATAATCCTTCTATGAAGTATGTTACCCACAGAGATCCAAAGATATCCCTCTCACCATTCAAACCACTGGCATTTTCAGTATGAGTATTGCTTTCAAGATGGATTAGAAGGAGACTTGAAAACGTTGTTCTTACCAAAAGAATATGATTGCAGAAAGTTAGAAAACCAGTCCAGTTAATCACAAAGAGGACAGGACAACCTCCTAGCTGGGACTATAGATGGAGTATTTCTAAAAGTTGAGGTTGGACTGGTTAGAGCATCACAGGACACTGCACAGCTTTGGTGCAGTAATACACTGAACATATCAAAAGCAGGAAGAAAATCCCTTTGGATAACAAGGCAACCCTTTGCTATTTGGTGAGGAATTCCAGGGCAAAGTTTTCCTACTATTCTGTAGTGGGAAGAGTGCTGGGCATAGAAGCTAAGGGGCTCATGAAGCCAACAGTGAGGGAAAGGGTAGAGATAATATTTAATCTGAAGGGATTATCTTGAATGGTCAATTAATCTCAAGAATTGTGATTTGAGCATAGCAATCAATGTGTGTTGTCAATTACTCTGGATCTGACTGTAAAACCCTCACTGGATACTAGATTCTTTGTAAAGCAATCACATGAACTTGCAATAAAGGAGATGAGATAGCAAATGGACAGTAAATGCGACCAATACGTTTAGATTTTAAATAAAAAATATGTAGCATTTGTGCCCTGGAGACACAATCTTATTTAAGACTGATGTATCACCAGCAAAATTCATTCATTATACCCCTTGGAATTGTGGTATTATACTTTAAAGCATTTTTTCTCTCCTGTTAGACTTTTTTATTACCCTCTTTGCATACTTGAAGATGTTTTCTGTTGTGCACACTAGGTACATGATGCACTTTTGTTCACACCTTATTCAACTGAAGAATAAATGGCTGAAAAAAATTTACCTCATAAAAATGAAATGCTGTAAAATACTAAACCCACAAGTTTGAAGTTCTCAGTGGAGGACTATTTCAAGTTCACCAGTAGAATAAATATATATATTAAATAAGTGACCTCTTAATATACTTAAATAATCCCTCCTGTAAAATAGTTTATTTTTATGTTCTTTATTCCACCAAAACTGCATTGCAGTTTTCCAGTCTTTATATTTACATTATTTGCAACTCTTTCCATAAGTGCCGGTACAAATGTAACTGATGAAAATCCAGAATAGTCATACAAATGTTCCTGAAAGCAAGGTGCATTTCTGAGCAAATTTTTTTCTGATGCACAATAATATATATGTATATATTAACAAAGCTTCATAATATAAAATATCTTCCATGGCAAGTAAAACTTCCCCACTTACAGCTTATTCAGATTTCAGTTACACAGACTTCTGCATTTCAAGTTAGTGCAAATAATGAGAGTAAGAGCCTGAGCAGAACGATGTCAATACAACGGAACAAGAGAAACAGCAAAATTTTACCAACTCCCTGCATACGGTTATAACATTTAATCAGTACATCATTAGTATTCTTCATATACAATGTATTTAAATAATTGGCTTGTCTGAGCTATAGGCAACAAATTTACAAAATAAAATAACGTTTCACACAAATATGGAATGTCGGACAAATATATGAAAATAAAATGCATCTAGTAACAAAACATTGTAAATCAAAAAGATAAAAGATGTCTTCTCCATTTTTGAAGATTTCAAGGCACTTTCTTGGCAAATCAGAATTCTCTCCTTGGTAGAAAGTCTGCAAGAGAAAAGGACATGCCATTTTATAGCTGTTTCAAACCAGAGAAGCAGACTGCTTAGCAAAATTCTGTTCATAAACCACAGTTTCCTGTGGGTTGCATAAATCATAAGATTAACTTCAAATGCCAGTGGGTCTTGCCCTCCTGTGAACACTAATGAGTTTTGCCGGGGCAAATCCTCAGTGCCAGTGCCAAGAGGTTTAACACACAGAGGTCTGCACTGCTGCACCTTGCAGGGAAGTTCCCCATGCACACAGCCACGTGCAGTTCTGCATTCTGGGTTTCATTAAATGCTTTACTTCCATTTGCTGGGATCTGACTCAGGAAGTGAAAACGAACCCACCCGAACCTCTAAGGGCTGTAAGGGCAGCGTGTGCCCGGTATCCCGGTCCCGGAGCCACCCCAGCGGCTGCCCGGGGTGCGGCGCCTCTCCATGGTGCTGAAACATCCCGCCACGGCTTGCGCGACCAGATCCGCGGGCAGACAACTGGCTTTCCCCAAGCAAAAGTTCATTTCGAGGAGGAAAAGACCACGTCTTCTCTGTATAGCCGGATATTTACAGATGAGGAAGGAAAAATATTTGCATAATAGCACTGCAGCTCTTTTTTTTAATGAGGAAAAGGCAGCCTATTTTAGTACTGGCAGGAAAAGGCTTAAAAATAGCTGTCAGTTCTTCAAGTAAGAGAGCCTCCTTCTTCAAGGCAACCAAGAGTCTCCAAGATCTGTCAGATGTTAAAGTGAAGACAAATTTTCTTACAGGCAACAGGATCTATGGCCATGTCTTCTCTACACTAGTGTGAGGGTGGTGAGGAAAACAGATCCCTTGTGTCAAAAGATGAAGCAGAAGCAATCAGAGAATCATGTTAGAAATGCAATGTGATTGAGAGATGAACATATGTAACTCCTTTGTTGCACTCCCTACTAACAGGGAAGAGAGAGCAACTCCTGCCACTCTTCACCCTTCTCAAGAAAATGTTTCCTTTCCAAGAATCAGTGGATATGAGTAAACATGAAGATCTGAGAATGTCTTATTTATGATGGAAACTATCTGCTGTGGAGGAATGGGCTGAGGGAGCACAGAGACAGCTGGGAAACACTCAAGCCATGGCTATACTTTTTCCTATAATATTTTCTCTGTTTTTAACAAAGTAGAGAGAAAGCCAGCCTAGATACAACTTTAAGTGAATGCAGTGCACATGAGCTGCTAGCAATGCTTACCATTTAAAACCTTTCTTCCCTATTTTTCATGTCTTTGAATGTATTTTTGGCAGGCAAATTAAAACACCTGGCTTTGCAAATCATAGCAACTTTTGATCCTTTTGTGTTTTAAAGATGGAAATAGGATGAGATAGATGCTTCTGTACTGTGGATATGTAGGCAGATCTTTGACTCATTCTCTTAAAAGAAAAAAGAAATTTGGAACACCAGAAATCTTTCTGAAAGCCCTGATACATGAATCCAGAGATGTAAACGGATACAGGTAAAGGAAAAACAGAGACTAAAAAGGTAAAACTGCAGAAAGTAAGAGGGTGGTAGGATGTTTGAACAAGCTGAGATTTAAAAGAGGATATTAAAAAACAAACAGGAATTTAAGTACCCCCCCACTCCAATTTTTTTTTTTTTTTAAGAGGGCATTCAGGAAAGGATTCCTGCCTTGAGTCATGAAAAGGAGATACAGGCAAAGTAATGATATGCCTAATCAGTCTCTAGTTTGCTGTCCTTGCTATATTCAAAACCATCTGCAACACCTGGAAATCAAGAGGCCAAAGAGACTGAAAAACGTGAAGAAGAAAGGAAAAGAAAGAAATTATGTCATTTCTTCTCAGAACTGAAATATTGCCATATTCTTTAAAGCACAGCCACCAAAATGAATCCCACCTCCACTGAGAAATCAAATCAGCTAACACTGACTCATATCCTACTTTTCTTTTCTTATTCTTGATTAGTATGAATTGAAGTCTTGATGCAGGAAGAAGTGACATACACAACTCCCCCAAGCTCCAAGCTTGCAGTATTTGTCAGGAGGAGGTGGTGAAAGGAAACCATCTTTAAAGAAATGTAAATAAATAAAATTCACTGATCTTATACATTTTAGTGGTTAATAATAACAACCAGAGTGTGTATTTACAATCAATCTTTGAAATTATAACTATCTTATTATTATTCAAACAACAGGAGAAAACAACTCACTTAGAGATGTTACTTTTACCAGTGACAATGCTGTGTAATTAACATTTGACATGCTATTCATAAACAAGAATGGACTGGTTTCTTCCTCAGTCTACTTAGTGAAACCTTTAGCTTTCCACATCTTTATGTTCAGTTTCCTTCCATCACCATGTAGTGGTTATTAAGTTTTCAGAAATTCTCAGAAGACTATATGGGAATGAAAAGGGGTCCCAGAAATGAATTAAGTGATAGGTGATCTATGAAGATTGCAGTGGTAGACCTGAGACCAAAACATTCTGTTTTTTCCATGGATTAACAACACAGTTCTCTGAAGAATGGCCTGAAATAAATGTGCTGATGATATCCTTGGGCATTTTCTTTCACCAAGCAGACTCCTTCTTGAAATTTTGAACAGTAAGAGGCCACCCAGTGCATAGCTATGGAATGCAGTGCCACAAGTGACTTGCAGAAAATTACACCAGGGCTTGCCAGAGGTATTTATGCTTCTATGTGTTTCCAGGAGGAGCCAGTCAGTTCTGCAAAGCCAAAGCTGCATGTTGATACACTCTGATAATACCACATTTTTTTATGCACACCTGATAACAAGGTATAAATGTGAAGTAAACCACTAGACCATTCAACAAATAAGAAAATGATTGGGGAAAATGATACTTACATAGCAAACATCCTAGGACTGTGTACACAAAGGGCTCATTGCTAATCTTGTTAGCAATCTTGCACACCTTTTGTAATCTATAAAACAGAATTACCCACAGCAATAATGAATCTCAGTTGCCAGATACCCTCAAAAAACTGCATAAAATTAAATGTAAAGTGTGTACCTGAATTTCAGACACTCTACACAGTGAAACTGTTATCTGATGGAAATTCATGAAATTATCTGTGCAAGATGCAATATTAGATTGTACCTTAGCATAAACAGTGCTCTAGAGGAAAAGTACAAGGGATGCAAGGAATTAAATTTCAACCAGGAAGTTTTAAATTTAAACCAGGAAGTTTTCTACTGGGATGTGGAAGACCAGGAATTTTACTCATTAACTCGGAGGCTATTGTAACTATCACTATAGCATAGTCAGAAGTCAGGCTGCTTCAAACATTTTATTGTTGCATTTCTTATTAATATTGATTTAATTCCATATTTTCCACATTTAAGTACATCTCCTAATCATCAGACTAAAGATACTAACCTCCCACTTCCAATCCCCTTGTGTGTGCCCTTGGTTCAAATGACCACTTGGTTCAAGTGGATCCTGAGTCACTACTGCTATCCTTTCTGGTATTTGCTAACAACAAATACATAGATGCTTCTCTTGCTTGATATGTATTTTAATGAAACTTAATATAAATTGTGCCAAACAGCAAGAAAGTGATTGCTATCTGGGTTTCAGTTCCTCAGAAAATATTCATACAATTATAACCATGTCAGAAGGAGAGGAAATAACTCATCCTCAGACATCCCATGATGACTAAGGTGTCCCTGACAGAAAATATCAAACCCCTTTAAAGGCACAGGGAAAGATCTTGGCTAGGATCAGCCTGAATGATAGATAAGGTGAAGACAAACCTGAAGATTTAGCTCTCCTTTTTAGAACAGAACATTTCAGGTGAATTTAACTCATTGTCTGCTTTGGGTTTGCTTGATGCAAGGGGGAACAAAAACTCTGCTGTGGTTTAAATCACCCTTTTAATTTTACAATTTGCTTTGATAGTTGAACTAAAACGTAAGTTCTTAATACCAATCAAAATCACAGTCTTGTTTTTAACTTTAAGAAAAGCTATTTAATTATAAGAAAAATAATATTACTCTTTTTCTGGAGAAATAAAGTGAAACACTCAGGCAATACATTAGAGTCCAAATAATATTCACATGCTCTGGATCCATGTGTCAAGGCATACAATGTGGTATTTTTGTTGCACAGCATGTAATAGAAATATGCCTTGCCTACTCCTGTGTCTGCTTAGAAAGCTGCATGTGTATCTTTTGAGGATAAGCCATGGATTCCTACATTCCAGCTTCTAATAAGAATAAAAGCAAATGGAGATGAGGGCTGCTCCATCCCCTTTCAAACACTAAATGCTCTGATGTGCTGACCTATGGTGAGAGAGCACCTCAACTGCTCACAAACAGTGCTTCTAAGTGATGCAGCCAGAAGGTCCCATTGCTTGTTCATGTTAAATCCTGAAAAGCTTCCAAAGCACCAAACTTTGCCCCAGTTTGTGCTTACACATCCTTAATGAGGTTCACCTTCTCTAATTAAAACACACTCCTTCTTTTCCACTGACTTGAATTGAATTGTCCATTGCACTAGAGAATGCTGAAGTAACTTCTATTTAAGGAATTTCTATTTTGGTTTGGGGTTTTTGTTTGCTTTTCATCCATTTTATCCAAGAATATTTCTATTTTTCAGTGTCTCTGACAAAACTATATTCAGGCTGTGTTAAAGCAAAGCTTCTGCAGGCTCAGAGAGGAAGTTTGCTTGATAAGAACTGAAAGTATCAAAAACAAAGTGATGAATCAAATGATTTTCTGTTGTTTAACAATGGGCATATAATAGAAAATTATATTCACAAGCTGAAATATACTAAACCCCAAAGATATAACTCTACTGTTAAGCATTAATAGAAGGTAAAGAATGGTTCAGATTTTATCTTGCACAAGGAAAGCTAAAGAGAGCAAGAAGGAGAATATCTGCCTTCTGCATAAGCATGCCCTACTGATTTTTTTCAGTGTGGTTTTGGTTTCATTTATTTCAGCATCGCTTTGAAGGAACTCCATGATGTTCAGCTGACAGCAAGTGCATTTACAAGAAATCTTTATGTATTAGAAGACCTTGGGTATGTTTGTTAATGTAGTGCTAAAGAGTAACTGTTAAAAAAGGACTAGGACATCAAACACTTAATAGAAAAAGTGTGCTGCTTTCAAGCAAGTATCACAGCTAGCATTAAAAAGTACTTTGCTACTTACAGGTTGGTGTTGAGCAGTCCCTTGTGTTGTGATACAGTCGATGAAAGTGCTTGCTACACTCTGAGGAAAATGTGACTGGCCCTGTATAAAGTAAGGAGGAGTTAACAACAAGCTCTCAGTGTCACTGCTCTGCAGCTTCAATGGATGACAGCAACACATAGCATTAAGTTCATTTTTTTCTTGGCTAAAACTGAATTAGTCTTTTACTATATCTTAAACAACTATGATGCAACAGAAGTATAATAATGCTAGTGAAATAACACAAAGAAATTCTTTTGCTGTGCCTTTATGTTCATGATATAAAAGCCATGAAAAATGACACATTAACATGACTGGCTGGTTTAGCCTTGAAATTCCAGTAATTCAAAATTAGCAGTAAAATTTCTTATATGGTGAAAAGTAGAATGACAATTACAGTAGAATTTACTTAGTTAAATAGTTGTCTGTAGACTAATGCACCTGGACTGAGGATACTATTTGTAAAGATAAATAAAAGCAACATTTTAACCAAATATGAGTTTCTAACCCCTGGAAAGATGAAGTACTTTCATGTACTAATGCTTTTAATTTGCACATAGATGGTTTATACAATTCTTAATATACAGTGTGGGTGTTGAAGGAAAAAAAAAATGACAGCTGAATAACATCTAGGAACCTGATCTCCTGTTAAAATAATCCTAGTAAAAAAGCATACAATGTGCAGAATGCAGGATATGTTTCATCTTTGGCAAGGCAAATCCCTGCATGTCCAGGGTATAGTGTGCTGCTCTCTTCTTTGGATATACAGTGCCATCTGTTTACATTAATATTTGATAAAAAAGTGTCCCTGCTTATGCCAGGGGGTTGGAACTGGATGGTCTTTAAAGTTCCTTACAACCCAAAGCATTCTATGGGTCTATTTTTCTATAAAACATGTCTGAACTGTAACAAGTTGCCAAAGACCCCTTCCAAAATTGCTGATGGCCCCAGAAAGTATTACTGGTGACATTCAAGGAGAACAAAAATATAATACTTGCATCCTGTAACCTGCTTAGCAAGACTGTCACTGACAGCTGAGGATGAGTATCCTGTGGTTTGGACAGAAAACATTGACATAAACTGACATTAAGTGAATAAGGCTAAATTTAAATGCAAATTTAGTACAAGTAGGAGCCCTGAATAAGAATAGCTTGCTTCAAGCAATGCTACAAAATGATTCACATGAAGCAGACTTTGTTGGCCAGCATTCCTTTCAGAGGAAACCAGGAAGCATTTCTGGGAAAAAAAAAATACTTGTTTCATAACTTGAAAGATGGTTTATGGGCCTGGTAAAATATATCAATCTAATTCTCTCTGGATAGTGAAGCCAAACCACCATGAGCTCCAGAGAAGATTCCTCTCTATGACAGTGAACATACTTGAAGATTGGATTTATTTTACAGTAGTACATGGATTTCAGTAGATTTTTTCAGCCACAAAGGAGCTTTTCAACAAACTGGAAGAGCAGCCTTTGCAAGTCTGAACTGGAATATTGTTGCCATTTTTTTTTATCTGAGTGAGTGATTAGGCTCAAGGAAAAGTATGTAATTTGAAATTATCCAGCATATATGGAGACAACACTGGCTTTTGTCACTAAATAAATTCCATGTCCCTTCAGATAATATATGGTTTTCCACCTCTCTTCCCTGTCATCAAAAATAGGATGTTAATTTTACTGTGCCTTACAAAACACTCTGTGTCAGCTGGCTTTCCAAGTTAAATTGATAGATTACTTTATGACTCACAAGATTATTTATGATTTTTCCTATAGTCAAGGACTGTTACATATGGTTCTTATTTGGCTTTAAAATGTGTCTATTATTCCTGGCATATGAGAAGTGTGCAATAATTTTCTTAACCCTGAAACTGTAAAGATAATGTACTATAAAGATAATATTGATTTCAGCTTCTCTCTTTTTTTTTTTTTTTTTTTTTACATCTTCATTAGTTTAGGATGTTCTAATTCTGAACTAGTAAGGACTGTAATCAAACAGTTTAATTAATGAAGGCTGCTAGAAGATTCTGATTGGAACAGAATAAAAAAACCAAAGTTCTACTGTATTTTAAGAAAATGCCTATGTATTACAGGATCTAATAAAACTATGAAAAATAAAATAAAATATAAAACAACAACAGGCAGAAAACTCCACCACTGAAGGTCTTAGAATATATTAAAAAAAGAGTGAAAGAAAGAGAGGAAAAGAAAGAGAGAGAGAGAATGAGAGAGAAAAAGAGATAGATAGATAGATAGATAGATAGATAGATAGATAGATAGAAAAGAAAAGGAAAGAAAAAGAAAGAAAGAAACTAACTGTAGGCAGAAATTTGTAGCCAACAAATAAACTTTCAGTATTTTGGAATGATCCTGCTTTCCTCATTCATTCCAACTAATCTTACTCAAGGAATTTCAGCAATTTTGATGGCAATTAAATTAAATTCATGCAGAAAAGGACTATTAATTTAATGAATGGGTCCAGAGACATGCCTTGAACTAGTTCTTTTCTCTTTTTCTCTTCTATGATTTACCACTCTCACAATAACTTCTGTAGAACTCGTGGCTGTTTTTCCCTGGTTTTGAGTAATGAAACTCAATCTGTATTCATTACTTAGCTTCCCCAGATTCTTATGTTGAGCTTTTTATGGTAGCTGAGGAGTTTCCAAAGCTAAAAATGAAAAGGAAATGGATTAAGTACTAACATAAACAAATCTCTCTTTTCTGACCCTCCCAGGAGAGGAATATTCAGTGTTCCTCTGTCACATAGAATAGCAGAGTTTGAAGCTTTATGTTAATTTCTTTCTCATATGGGCTGAAAATGATCAGGTTCACAATTCCTCTTGTTTACTGCAAGGATGAAGGGCCAGCTGGCTCTGGCACATTTCCTGTAGATTCTGTTGGGTTGCAGTGAGACATTGGCAGAAAGATCCTTAAAGTTGTGCTTATCCCAAGGGTTGGAATACACTTCCCCCATGCAAAAGAGACAACAAATACCTTCCTTTCTTGTCAAGCACTGCCTGAAATTTCCAGCAATGAGGAAATGCATAATTATTTCCAATTCTCTTTTTCATGCTCCAATGTCCAACTATTTCTCTAGCTTTTAGTTTCAATACTTCAAATAAACCCGAAAATCACCACAATATTTGCAGAATCACACTTTGAGACCTTCACTTTTCTGAGTTACAGAAAGCTGGAACTGGAGAGCAAAGAATCAGTGCAAGCACCTTGTCATTGGCAACTTTATTGCATATATTCAGAGGGTACTATATTTTTCTCAGTAGTTGCAATACAGTCCCAAAGTTAAGTGCATTATACAACTCCACCTCAGTTTTCAAGTACTTGGTTGTAATCATCATAAGCTTTCATACTTGAAACAGCAAGTTATTTTTTATATTTCATTTACACTAATTTAATTCTTCCTTGTTCTATCTGCTTCCACTATTAAAATAAGTATCCACATGTAGACATCATGAGACAGATGCAAAAATCTTCCCTGATTTGGTAAAAACTTACTTGGCCACAAAGGTCTGTTTATTAAAAATATGTGCAGGCCAATGAGAAGTTCTGAAATTAGTGAATGTGAAAATAAATATGGAAAGCACAATAGGAGGATAAAAGTTAAACAATGAATTTTAAATTATGTTTTAACTTGCCACATTTTGAAACTTATTTTAGACCAGATAGTTCATTTGATTATTCAATGAAACTAGAATTGTTCAAAACTTTATACTTCTAAAATATGCTCATTTAACTTCAGAAATGTTAATTTGGTGTTGAGCCTCAAAAAAATTAGTTGTGTGACATTTGTAGCTACATAGAATATGCACATGTGGGAAAACACAAGCAGCTGCCTTACCTGTAAAATGTTTTATGAACTTGTCTTTTAGACTGGAATCTCTTGGAAAAATTTCTGAGGAGAGAAGAAAACAAAATTACATTTATGTAGCCTAGGAATTACAATAAAAGCTCTGAAAGCATAATATGCCAAGATGTCTGATGTACAGAGACCAAACAGATTCCCAAATTAATTATAGTATTAATTTTCATAGTGGTGGGAGGTGTGGGCATGTAAACAACATTGTGAAGTATTTCAGGTAATTCCCAGATGAAGTGAAATATTGTGAAGTATTTCAGATAATTCCCAGATGAATACTAAATGGTCATCCTATGACACACAATCATTTTCTGACACAGATTTCTGCACATCTTAGGTCTGAGTGGGGCTGTAAGCATAGAAAGACTGCAAATAATATAAATGATCACACTTACAAGTATTTAAGTACCTGGATAAATTATGTAAAATACATAGATAAATAAAACCTAATTACTTTATGGATTTTGAAATAACAAGTGCCTGAAGAGAAAATTCTCCTACAAATCACCTAAAATAAACATGGGCCATGCACATTTTTATTGCAATATTAGTAATAAAATGGTCCTCATCTCCTGTGAAAAGTGCTGTGAGTTTTAAAATATTCCCTTTCCATTTATGGCATTTTTTTTCCCAGAAAGTACAAGAGTAGAAGCCTCAGAACCCACCAAAAGAATCACAAAGAACAGAAAATGGAAATAACACAAAAAGATAAAGTTCCTTTTTCATTTTCTTCCTCTTTTTTTCAATGGGATGCTGCTTCTGGCTGACAGCAGAAACTTTTGATGCAAGTAAATACCCTCAGAATGAGTACACCTTCCCCCAGTCTCATGAATTTTCTACTGAAAAAACTATATCAAAATTTTTGAGTACCTGCAGTTATTACTGGAGACAGTAACAAGCTGCCTGTTATATGAAATTCAAAGAACCTCTCCTGGCAGTAAGACAAGGAGCATTACTAACATGTATTTAACTGCAGGATTGGGACCTGCAGGTAAATATGTTTATTCACTAAAAATATTTCCTTATATCTAAAGTAATTTTAAATCTTTGTATTCTCCTACATTTTTTTCCAGTTCTCAATCTGAGTTAACATTTAGCTCAGAAGAGAGCTAGTTTCCTTTCATACTATAGGAAGATGTTGGTTATCTGCCAAGATAAATTCTTACCACTGGCTTTAGGCAGTTTCTCAGAGGTCACATGGGTGTATTTTTAGGCTGGGATTTTAAGATAAAATGCCCAAGTCTTACTGCAACTCATCAAGGTTAGGAAACCTACTTTACTTAATATTCCTTAAATATATCAGTTTTAACTAATTTCTTTTCTCATTGCAGAAGAAATGCAATGAGAAGGGTCTCATTGCATTTCTTCTCATTGAGAAGAAATGCACCCTTTCTCCAATAAACTTAGAATTTTACCAATAAGAAAAGTCAGGTAGTTTAAAATGATACAGAATGAAGACAAAAAGGCAAAATAGGGAAACAATTGGTGTGAGTTTTGAATGAGATGCCTCAAATGGGCAAGTACTGATGAATAATCACTGCCTGGTGAAGGGTAGGCTAGGAACTGACCGTCCTTGCTCAGACCAAGTGCATTTAGATACAGACACTTGCAAAGTGCATAGAATTTCCTGTAGGAACAGTAGCTGCTTTTTGCCCCATAAAATTCTCTATTTGCCTTATAAAATTCTCTAGGAAAAGCCTGTATACAGCCAAAACCCCACCTCTTAATGGCCACAAGGTGAAACAGGAGGACAGATTGATGCTCTGTCAAGGAGCTATGCACTGCAAGTATAAAATTGCAGCTGTAGCTGTGGTGGCAAGCCTGAGAAGGAACACTGCAGAGTCTGCTTTCCATGAGTAACCCACACTGGCCCAGGGTTCACACCAGCCTGCCCCAACAGGGAAATCTAGGTCAGTTGTGTGTTGAAAAGCAGCCAAGTGTCGCTGCCTGCGTGCCTGCTGCTCCCCTGCTGCGGCTGCTGTCCCTCCGGGCAGCAATCAGCTTTTCACCATGTGCCCATGGCTCAGCTTCCTTCAAGGGCTCCTTTGCTTAACAGTACAGTGCATGTGCTGGGTGAAACACAATCAGTGAGCCCCCAGCCCGGCACAAAAACAACCTAAGCTCATTTGTATGAGAATCACAGGCAGCACAGGTTACTGGAACACTTCTGGCTCTAATGGCAGAGGCAACTCTCCCTGAACCATGAATTGCCCAGCACAAGCACAAGGACAAGCACAGTCATTTTCTCCCCTCTTCCAGCAGCGTAGCCAAGCCCTTCTGTCTGTACACAACTGCGAGTTTGAGGTCTCAAAGGACTTAGCATTTCAATCAAACTAACGCACATCTTTGAATAGAGTATGTGTCCCTGACTCCTGATGACGCTGCAGCCAGAAGCAGGACATCAAGTCCATACATACTTCTGACAAGCTTTTCTATAGAGCAGCAAAAACTCATCATGAAAAAGCCCCTGAGCTAGCTTTTTCTGGCTTCTAAACAGTTCTTAGTTGCTCCAGTCATATTTTATGTGTTATCTATCACCTATTAAGGTGTCCATTTTCACAACAAAGGTTCATATCCTCACAATGCAAGCTAAATTCCTTTGACATACTAATTTCACAAAAGAAAAGCAGAAGCATGTATATTATTATTATAATAAAATAGATTGGCAAAGTATTACTAAAATCAAAACACTTCAAAGTCACACTGTGAAAAACTAAAAAAGAAACAGGAAAATGAAAAAAAAATGTTTTAAGTGTGAAATCCACATAAATGGAAAATATTGAGTGGAAAGAGCTTACTGAATTCACTCTTGCCCCAAGAACATATTACACAAACTATTAAAATACAGCCAGTATATATCCTATGTGATATAGTAACATTGGTTTTATTAATCTGGGAGAATATTTAGACTGTAGCATTCTTGTGTCCAGGCTTACAAAGTCTGCACTGCTCACCACAGAGTACATCTGGGTTAAAAGGCACTTGAGCTATTGACTCTGTATTTGTTCTGGGCATAATCTCAGTTTATAATCATAAATAACATTAGTTCTAGGATTTTTTTCCTATCTACATTAGGACTTCGATGCGTATCCTTCGATATTTACTCATCCAGGACAAAATATTGCCTGTCCTTCCACAGACAGCACTGGCCATGGGCAACTATTAAGTGGTGCTAAAATGGATTTTCTATTGGCTCTTCTGTCCAAAATGGCAGAAATATTTATGGTAGACTCTAGGGACAAGACAAATTTTGAGGGTTTTCCAGCTCCGCTTCACAGACAGAATGGTTAACTTTACAATGCAAAGTTGGTTCTAAACCAATCCATACCATTAGTCCTATCAAGCTAGGACATTTCAGATTCTCATGGCTTTAGGTAAGAGGTGAGTAGATCTGCCTGAGTTTTATCCCAGCTGGGATAAATGTGATGATGGAGAGAGCTAGCCAGGTCCAAGCGAGGAATCAGTAACCAACACCTGATCCAGCTCCCCTCTCTCAAATTTTGTTATAAACTTTCCAAAGTTGATTTAGCCACTGTTGTAAAGCTAATTCCCGAGAAGATTATTCTTTCAGTTGTATTCAGCACTCAGCAGCTGACAGGAATGTTTAATTTTTCACTAATTTGGGTGAAATTACAAAAAGCTCTGAGATTAAACAAACTACAGTGTGGTCTCAGGTTTGTCCTCAGCTCGCAACTTAAGACATAGTTGCTCCACCTTCAATGGGTCTTTTCACCTTTCTGTGCCTTCAGTTTCTCTGTGTTTTGTCTGTTCAGACTGCAAAGTTGTGACAGCACATGCTGATTTTTACCCTGTGTTTGCACTGTCTCCTGAATCATGTCACCATAATTGTGCCAGGAACATTCATGTCCTAATGGAGTATAAATAAAAAGAACTGTGATCACAGCCCTGAAATAAGCCAACTCCACACAACAGTTTGTTGACTTGGAACATAAAACCTCCACATCCTCAGGCAGAAAAAAAATCAAGATCTCCATTTGTTTATTCTCCCAACAGACAACTTTTGTATATTTTTAGTTTATTCAGAGAATTAGTGTCAATCAGACAGCAAAAGTGCTCCACTGGTCAAGTCTGGGCCAATCAGAAATGGTGGTGACACCTTTGTGATAACACATTTAAGACAAAAATAAAAAGAAGTTATTGTGCAGATGTAACTACAGCCAGAGAAGAGCAGATTGAGAACATTGAGAGGAACAACTCTGCAGACACCAAGGTCAGTGGAGAAGGAGGAGGAGGAAGGGGAGAAGGTGCTCCATTGTGCTTGAGCTGAGATTCCTCTGCAGATGGTGGTGCAGACCATGGGGAGGCAGCTCTGCCCCTGCAGCCCATGGAAGTCCATGGGGATGCAGAGATCCACCTGCAGCCCCTGGAGGAACCCCACACCAGAGTAGGTGGATGCCTGAGAGGAAGCTGTGAACCTGTGGTAGGCCCATGATGGAGCAGAGTCCTGGCAAAGGTCTGCAGACCCATGGATAGAGAAGCCCACTCTAGAGCAGGTTGCCTGGTAGGACCTGTGACCCCATGGGGACCCACACTGGACCAGCCTGTCCTTGAAGGACTGCACCCCATGAAAGAGTGTCCCCCATAGCAGCAGTTTGTAGAGGACTGTTCCCCTTGGGACGGGCTCCAGTTGGAGAAGTTCATGAAGAATTGTCTCTCATGGGAGGGATATGATGCTGGAAGAGCAGCAGAAATGGCATGCAATGAACAGACCTAATATCCATTCCCTGTCTCCCTCTGCCACTGAGGGGGAGGAGTAGAGCTGAGAAGAAATGAGGGGTGGGGGAAGGTGTTTATAAGGTCTTACATTACTTCTCATTATCCTGCTCTGATTTTAAGCAGTAAATTCAGTTAGTGTCTCTAATTCCAGCCTGTTTTGCCCATAACAGTATTTTGTGATTATCTCTCCAGGTCCTTATCTCAACTCATGAACTTTCATTATATTTTCTCTACCCTGTCCAGTTGCATAGGGGAGTGATAGAGTGGCATTTGTGGGTGTCTGGCATGCAGCTAGACTC